CTTGCTTTTGGGAATTAGTTTACTCAACTCTCATTGGCCTATTGACGTACATGAATTTACTTTGCAGTAAAATGTCTTACCTCGTCGCTCTTCTGATTTGCCTTCCGGCCTTGGCCTTGAGCGCCGTGGACTGGGATCTCATTGCTGCAGGTTCATTCGCAAACATCGACCAAAACAGCGACGGCACTTTGGAGAAAAATGAAGTCGAGCATTACTTCAGGGTAAGTCGAGCATTACTTCAGGGTAAGTTGAGAATTACTTCAGGGTAAGTCGAGCATTATTTCAGGGTAAGTCGAGCATTACTTCAGGGTAAGTCGAGCATTACTTCAGGGTAAGTCGAGCATTACTACATGGTAACTCGAGCATTACTTCAGGTTAAGTCGAGCATTACTTCAGGGTAAGTTGAAAATTACTTCAGAGTCAGTTAACATTACTTATGGGTAAGTTGAGGATTACGTCAGGGCATAAGATAATAGTTGAGAAGGATGTTTGGTAGGCTTGATATACTTTGTTTTTTAGTTGCGGGGCACAATATTGTTTTAGTTAGCTGACCATTATAGTAAATAGTCTGACCATCACATTTAGTAAGCTGAATATTATCTCTAGTTAACTGAAGACTATTTCAAATTAAGCTGACCACTACATTAGAGAGGTAATCTTTACATTTTTTGTATGCCCACCAATGTATTTAGGATGGTGTCTTATTTATTCATTAAAATAACACTTATATTGTCAAGTTTACCCATAATTATGTAGTAAATGTAGATTGTTGACCGTTGCATAGAAAGCTTACCCATAATTATGTAATAAAGGTAGATTGTTGACCGTTGCATAGAAAGCTTACCCATAATTATGTAATAAAGACAGATTATTGACGACCGTTGCAATGAAAGCCTACCCATAATTATGTAATAAAGGTAGATTGTTGACCGTTGCATAGAAAGAGATGACCCCCGCCCCCCCCCCCACTCTTCACTTAAGATGACCATGTCAAATGACAATTTCCTAACCGATTTTGCGATTCATTACCCTGATGCATGCATTGTAATGTAATATTAGCGTCCAACATGAGAACACAAAAAATTTAAAAAGCATCGACACCCTCTCCAATACCTTCACCAACAGCAAACGTACGACACCAACAACGACAACAAGGTCACCAAGCAGGAGTACGTCGCCGTCCTCACCGCCGCCAGCACCGGGGACAACAACCTCGTCAAGGCCCTGTCCGACCTCTTCGAAGACCTCGACTACAACAACGACGGCGTCCTGGACAAGGACGACAACGACAAACTGTTCGACACCATCGACGGTAACAAGAACGGACACGTCACACAGGTGGAGTTCACCACGTGAGTAAAATTTCCACAAAGTTTTTCACTAGAATAAGGTTAATGATAGCATCACTGTTGACAGGGCGGGACGCGTCACGCATGACGTGGGTATGCTCCATGATGAAAGTAGTTCTCGCCAGGTTGGGGCGCACTTATGTGATCAGGGCAAAGAAAGCGCTGAAAAATGCAAACAGCGCAACGACCTGGGTGGGGGTTGTAA